CCTACCTGCAGATGCACGTAGTCGTAGTCCTCCATCCATCCCTCCTCCGTGCTGTCGTAGGGCCGCTCCCCGCCCCCCCGCTCCTCCTCCTCCTCCGCCGCCGTGAACTTTGGGGGCGAGGGGAGGGGCCTGGACTGGATGTGCACCTTCTACAGCCGGCCCCCTCCGCACCCCCCCACTCCCCCCACTGCCCTCCCCCGCCCCCGTCCGGTTGGTCCTTCTGAACAGCAGCGAGGCGTTGCCGTGGAGAAACGAGGCCAGCTGCTTGGCGTCGTCGGGGATGCCCCTCGCCGCCATGATGAGCCGGTCCAGGTCGTCGCCGCCCGGCGCGGTCGCCGCGGTCGCCATGGCGACGTGCGACCACGCGGCGGCGTCCAGCGCCTGGCCGTGCCTGACCAGGCCCCGAAAGCCGTCCTCCATCTTGGAAACCTGCCGGCTGAGCTTGGCCTGCAGCGAGCGGTCGGGGGCGCGGCCGGCGTTGGCGGCGGCGTCGCGGGCGAAGTCCAGGAAGTCGCGCACGGCGCCGCGCGCCCGCTCGCTCGCCGCCCGCATGGCGGGCAGCACGGCCTCCAGCCGCCCGGCGCCGCGCCAGTTCCCCGAGACCAGCGACATCATCTGGGCCACGCCCGACTCCACCGCCTGGGTCAGCCGCGAGAGGAGCTCCATGGCCTGGTCCAGGTCCAGGTCCAGGGCCAGGGGGGGGGGCAGGGGGGGCTGGGGGGCGGATGGGTCCCGAACAGGGACCAGGTCCAGGGAGCAGGAGGAGGAGGAGTGGGTGCTCCCCGTGCTGCAGGCCGACAGACGCTTAAAAGACACGGACACGTCCTCAACGCCAGACTGGGCGTCACGGACAACCTGGAAATACACCGAGAAGAAAACGGGTTTAGGTGGGGAGGTTCTGTAGGAATCCAGCAGTGAAAAGTGTGATATCACACTTTTTTACAGGACATTAAGGAACAAACCAGGTAAACATATGCATTCAGTCTTCTGACTCGTTCTCCTTTTAGCCCAATAAGATTATAAAATGAGGGCAGCAGCCGTAGCCTAATGGCTAGAGCGGGCGGCCCATATACAGAGCCTTTGCTCACAAGCGGGTGTCCTGGGTTCGATTCCAGCCCGTGGCCCTTTCCCGCAGGTCTCCCCCTCTCTATCTCTGCCCCCTTTCCTGTCAAGCTACTGTCATTAAAGGCCACTAGAGCCAACAAAAAAAGATTATAAAATGTGATATCACAGTTTTCATTGATGGATTTCTTTTTTTTTTCTTCTTTTTTTAAAACTTTGTTAATTGAACATTTTGAACATAAGAATTTGGGACAAATTCAAAGTGTCTATACAATCTGTCAACCCCTAATCCACCCTGACCACCCACCCCACCCACAGGCCAAAAAATAAATAAATTACACAAAAAAAACGTCTTTCAGTGTGGAGGTTTTGTAGAAATACAGCAGTGAAATGTTATTGAGCTAAAAGGAGAACGAGTCAGAAGACTGAATGCATATTTTTACAGGACGTTAAGGAACAAACAAGGGACTCTGGATTTTAGAGGGAGAGGAAAACGTCTTTAGGCGTGTAGGTTCTGCAGGAATCCAGCAGTGAAAAGTGTGATAATCTTATTGAGCTAAAGGGAGAACGTTGTCATCACCATATATATATGTTGATCTTACCACATACTACCCATGGATAGTGTGGAATAGGTTTAGATAGATCTTAAAGTTAACTGAATATCGAATTTATTAAGAGTGAATTTATTCACTAGATGAAGTCAGATGACTGAATGCACATTTTTACAGGACATTAAGGAAAAAACAAGGGACTCATGTTTGGTCCTACTGAAAATAGCTGGATTTTTATCTATTTTTACACATACAGGCACACAAGGTTCTGTAGAAATCCAGCAGTGAAATATTATTGAGCTAAAAGGAGAACGAGTCAGAAGACTGAATGCATATTTTTACAGGACGTTAAGGAACAAACAAGGGACTTTGGATTTTAGAGGGAGAGGAAAACGTCTTTAGGTGTGTAGGTTCTGCAGAAATCCAGCAGTGAAAAGTGTGATAATCTTATTGAGCTAAAGGGAGAACGTTGTCATCACCATATACAGGACTGTCTCAGAAAATTTGAATATTGTGATAAAGTTCTTTATTTTCTGTAATGCAATTAAAAAACATGAAATTTCATACATTCTGGATTCATTACAAATCAACTGAAATATAGCAAGCCTTTTATTGTTTTAATATCGCTGATTATGGCTCACAGCTTAAGAAACCCAAATATCCTATCTCAAAATATTAGAATATCTGATTTATGAGTTTTCTTCAGCTGTACGCCATAATCAGCGATATTAAAACAATAAAAGGCTTGCGATATTTCATTTGATTTGTAAAGTGAAAAGTGTGATAATCTTATTGAGCTAAAGGGAGAACGTTGTCATCACCATATACAGTATATATGTGTAGGTTCTGTAGAAATACAGCAATGAAAAGTGTGATATCACATTTGATAATCTTATTGAGCTAAAGGGAGAACGAGTCAGAATACTGAATGCATATTTTTACAGGGTCCCTGGTTTGTTCCTTAATGTCCTGTCAACCCCTAATCCACCCTGACCACCCACCCCACCCACAGGCCAAAAAATAAATAAATGACACAAAAAAAAAACGTCTTTCAGTGTGGAGGTTTTGCAGAAATACAGCAGTGAAATATTATTGAGCTAAAAGGAGAACGAGTCAGAAGACTGAATGCATATTTTTACAGGACATTAAGGAACAAACAAGGGACTCTGTTGTTGATCTTACCACATACTACCCATGGATAGTGTGTAATAGGTTTATGATATATAGACATAATAGATAGATCTTAAAGTTAACGGAAAACGTCTTTCAGTGTGTAGGTTCTGCAGAAATACAGCAGTGAAAAGTGTGATATCACATTTGATAATGTTATTGGGCTAAAAGGAGAAAGAGTCAGAATACTATCTATTTTTACACTTACAGGACCACAAGATAACACCGGTGTTATTTAATTTTTCATTTATTCTACAGAAAATAAACCGTTTTGTATAATAAAAATGTGTTTTTCCTAATTCTACTGGAGGAGCCTTAAAAAAAAACAAAAAAAACAACAACTCTTGAGGAGTCTGTTTCTATCTATCTATCTATCTATCTATCTATCTATCTATCTATCTATCTATCTATCTATCTATCTATCTATCTATCTATCTATCTTTAA